TCAAATCTATCTACCAATCAAGAAAAACAATTCCACTGCGATTACTTCTCTTCTGGAATGTTTAGAGGAGGTTAAATCATGGCTAGCCCAAAATTTCCTCTTCCTAAATGAAGACAAGACCGAGGTAATTGTTTTCTGTCCAAATTACATTCTAAGTGTATAAGCCCTGAGTTAGAAAGTTTAGCCGTTTTTAGATTCTCGCGGGTGCGGAACCTAGGTATTCTAGTCGACCAGCATTTAAAATGTGATAAACATATCTCTTCTGTCATTGGGATCAGCTTCATTTACTGTCTAAAATTAAAAACTCTCTCACTCCAAAAACTCTAGAAATGGCTGTTCATGCGTTCATTACGTCTCATCTAGATTACTGCAATTCTTTATATTGCAGTATATCTAAATCTCAAATTGCGCGTCTTCAGCTTGTCCAAAATGCTGCGGCCAGACTTTTTTAAAGGGTCGTAAACATGAACACATCACTCCAATTCTTAGATCTCTACACTGGTTGCCGGTTTGTCAGAGAATAGACTTTAAAATTCTCCTCTTTGTATATAAATCCCTACGTAACCAAGCTCATGTCTATCTATCTGACCTTCTTTACTTCTATACTCCATCTAGAAGCCTACGATCCTGTGACCAGGCCTTGTTGGTGGTCCCTCACGTCAGGCTTAAGCGTAGAGGGGAGCGTGCATTTGTGGTGGCAGGGCCACGACTCTGGAATACCCTACCTTTAGAGATTAGAATGGCCCCTTCTTTGTCTGTTTTTAAGTCCTTGCTAAAAAACTTATTTTTTCTCCTTAGTGTAATGACTACTGTGATATGGTCATTTTTAAACGTGCTGTTTTAAATTTTTGTCTGGTTTGTTCTCTGTGTATGTGGTAAAATTGTTGCTCTTCTGAAAAGCACTTTGGTCAGCCTGGTGGCTGTGTATATGTGCTCTACAAATAAAATTAACTTGAACTTGAACAATGTTTTTGTCTCGTCGCTCCGGCCAGTACACGGCATCACAGTATGGTAAGGGGCGTAACATTTCCGTCACACGCTTGAGGTATTCGGCCAATCACAACGCACTGGATAGCTGGCCAATCAGAGCACACCTTGCTTTTCAGACCGATGAGCTTTGTAAAAATCGACGAGTTTCAAAAAGGCGGGAAAATAATGTATATAAATAAAATAATTTTTTAACTTTAAACCGCATAAACACATTTCATTATGTGTTTATGCGGTTTAAAGAACACACAAAATAATGTTCTTTTTAGCAGCATCATATGACCCCTTTAATACTAAAGCAAACACAAAGTACTCCCTAAGTAAGCTGATATTACCAGTATATGCCATTTGACATTGATGACAGACTAAAATAATCCTTTCTTTCCATCCATCCAAGTCTCCATGGACTGAGCAGTAACTTTGCCTGATTCAAAGTACTGTCTGTTAAATGTTTGCTCAAAATAGAGGGAAACAAAGATGCTGGACATTGCGTAACAGTTGAGGTCATCATAAAAATGTATTACACGTGTAAAAGACATCAATGTATGACTTTCATATTTTACATTCTGTGATACAGAGCACTGATTAATCTCTCTTCATTTCAAGTTCCCCTTACTAAAGGTCTAAACCACAGAACAGGATAACTCACAAAAACACTAAACCTCAACACAAAGCTTGAAGGTAAGATTTACACGGCGAGTGAAGAGGTATAAGCACTAGAGATACTGAGGGTGAGGGTTGTCTAATAAGTGAGCGGACTCAGGGGTTTCAGCCGCAGAGGAGAGATGCACTGCCCCCTGCTGGACTCCTCCACGAGAGTCCCTCCTGGGTGGATTTGCCCCAGCACTGGACACACTTGAGCGGCTGCTTCTGTAGCTGGGCCGTACCGAGGGCAGGAAAGAGCTAGACTCCGAGGTGATGACAATACTGGGAATCCGACCAATCGCACCTCTTGAAATTGGCATGTCTGTATCGTCACCAGCCTGCAAACAGCAGAGAGGAAGGTTTTGAGAGATTAAATCTACCTATTGCCAATTATCAGCCTTTATTGTGCATTAAATCAGCATTAAAACACACAAGATGACCTCCGTAACAAAACACTGATGGCAGAATTCTTGGTTTAATGAATAGGCATTCATCTATGAAAGATGATTAGGATTATTCTTTCAAAGGCACATATTTCTTCTGCAGAAAAAGGCATTTAAAAAAGGAAAAACGGAACAGTAATTTTATTACATGCTATTCTTCTGCAATCAGAATTCAAATTCATTAACTAATTAAATTTTTTCAACAGCACACTGTGATTCATCAAACAGCATTCTATCAATTTGAATATGCTTTCAGATTTTTCATGTACAAATTTGATTGCCTTGGCAAGTTGTTCTGCCAGTAACACCAGAATAAAACGTTCCTGACGTCAGCAAATTTTACAAACCATGCCACCTACAGGATCCTGCAAAAGCTTGACTGGTTTACTGAACTTAAACAGACTCACAGCTAAAGGGTTAGTACGGTCCGGCTGATTGAGTCCTACCACAGACACATCTTCCACATCAGAGGAACTCTAGGTCAGAAATGAGAGAGTCAGGATAATAATCAAAAAAGTCTAGGGTCAGAAAGGGTTTTTTAAAGAAACAATAATTCTATTCAGCAAGTACACATTAAATTGTGACATTTATAATGTTACAAAACATTTCTATTTCAAATAAATGCAGTTCTTTTGAACTCTTTATTCATCAAAGAATCCTGAAAAGAAATGTTTCTCCAAAAATATTAAGCACAACAACTTTTTAATGTTGACAGGAATAAAAATGTTGCTTGAGCATCAAAGTATCAAAATTATTTCTAAAGAATCATATAACATCACAGGAATAAATTAAATTTTAAAATATATTACAACAGTTCTATTAATTGTAATAATATTTCACCAAATTACTGCTTTCACCATATTTTAATCAAACAAATTTAGCCTTGGTGAGCATTAGAGACTTAGTTTGTGGAATTTTGTAAGCAATAAGCTTAAGCTTATTAGCAAATCTGGACGTAACAAAAAAACGTTGTTTATAATCATGTTGTGTTTGATGATAAGGACACAGACAATCTCATAAATGTGATTTGCAGGACGCAGCTCAGTGTTCTACATTTATGTCAGAAGGAGGACCATTTACCTATAAAGGTTTTTTTAATTTACCCACAACAAAACTTAAACAGATTTTAGAACATAAACTGCTTAATTGTCTATTTTCAGTTAAATTGATGAAATATAAAGTGTTTGTGTGCTTGCCATTGTACATAAATTTTATACTTAATACTATAATACTTAATTCATGCCCAACAGATGTTTGTTTTAAAGCAGTAGGTGAGAAACATACTCCTGGATTCACTTAATACAAGACTACTTTGAGATTGTGTCGACAAATGTTTATCGGTTTAGTGTGGCAAAAACAGACATAGTGCAACGTATCTGATTACCATGACAGATTCACTTGAATATGGTACACTGAGTGTGAATTTGTAGGTTTACTATAAGAAAGCTGAAATGTGTTTAAAAATGTGACTGACCAAATTGACTGGCTAGGTCAAATGTCAAGCTATGCCCATACTTCAAAAGAGTAACATGAGGATAAACAGAGGATGACAGGATTAGCAATTCTGCATGAACACATTTTCGTAAGACAGGCTACACTCCTTTGATACTTTGATACCACATATGTAATACATTCAGCCTGTGAGGTCACCTTTTCAAAGATGCCCGAGTCGTGGCTTTTGAGCTTTGACTTGAAGCTGGATGAGTTACAAGGTTTGAAGTCTGGGATCTCTGCAGTGTCCTTGCTGATGTCACAAGACACTTGCCGGCTGGCAGGCCTGGAGCTCATGCTCGAGAGATCGGCCTCAGTATCTGTCCAGCCCTGAAGAGTAGAAACAGGTCATAAAATACATCCATTACAATCACATTTGCCCATGAGAAGACTAATCATCAAATCTAGAGATCCATCAGGCTCACACACTCACAGATTCGCTGTCGGAGGCTGAGGAGAGCCGGGACTTGCCAGTGCTGGTTCTGTAAAACTGTCCAGACATATCAGAGGACTGGCTTGTGACGGTGGAACGACGTGTGGACATAAAGCTGCTGTGGAGCGAATGGAGGTCACGCTTGGGGACGCACAACAGCACACGAAGACACGGAATGTATTTCGCTATGGCCAACCTGACAAAGACACAGATGAGATACAGGCATGAGACACCGTAGACATGGTTTATTGAAAATGTTTTGTGTCAGGAGAATATATGCAATAACGTCAGAGCTTCAAATTAGCTACATAATTCAGATACATTTGAAATAGTATTAATACACTTTAGACCTGAATCAAAATGAACCATTTTGTCATTGCATGCATGAAAACATGTTCAGTGCATAGGGACTAAAATGTGTTTAGCAAAATGTGGTTTAGTGTTGTGGGAGAAAATCTAATCAAAATGACTTTTTGAACCAGCAGGCCTTACACATGGTATCATATACCATCAGGATGCTCTGTGCAGGATTAATCATTCTTTATGCTCAAATGGATATTTAGGTTAATGAAATCAATCAAAATGGAATCTCACACTTTAACCCAGAAGCAATGCATGTTTCTGATCAATTTGCGATTGAATGGCTCAGTGAGCTAGACACTAGGAAAAATTAAAACAATCACAAATTGCCTCAGGTGTTTAGTCCTAATGGGGCCAGTCCAGGTAATCTAATCTCTGAGCCATGTTCTGCATTAATGGAAAGTGAGTTTGTCCATTAAAATGTCAAACATGACCACTTACAGTGCCATTAATGTTTTTCATTACCACTTTGGCTAAACCAGTCTAGTTTCAAAAATATATTGAACTGACATCAACGATTCTCAATGAGACTCCCACAGTACCTGTATTTGGGGTGTGTGATGGCGTAAATGATGGGATTGTGGATTGCTGAAGCCTTGGCTATCACAGCAGGTACTGAATTCATATACGGTGTGAGCATATCAGAATACCTGAAAATGCAAGTGTATAGATTAATTAACATGTTAATTTATGTATATATATTTTACTGTATGCCATTACTTTGGTACTTGTAGTCTACATAATAATTTGAAAAAAATAAATTAACATATTTATGCTAAATATATGTAAAAGCTAAAAAATATATTATATTATACAGTAAAAACAGTAATATTGTGAATTTTTTTAAAGAGTTTTCTATTTTAATATATTTTAATGTCATTTATTCCTGATGGCAAAGCTGAAAAGCAGCCATTACTCCAGTTTTAAGATCCTTCAGAAATCATTCTAATATGCTGATTTGCTGCTCAAGAAACTTTTTTATTATTATTATCAATGTTAAAAACTGTTGTGCTGCTTTTCTGTTGTTGTTGAAATCGTGATACATTTTTTGTCAGGATTTTGTAACACATTTTAATGTCTTTACTGTCACTTTTGATCAATTGAATGAGTCTTTGCAGAATAAAAGTAATAATTTCCTAAAAAACAAAATCTTTCTGACACCAAATTTTTGAATGGCTATGTATATTTTATATTACATTATATTGTGTTGTCAGGGTTGGGATTCATTTACCCAGCAAAAGCTGTCAGTGCCACAGTTGAATATGGAGACCAGGAGATGACATACATGAGAATGACAATAAGAGCAATTTTCGCCATCTTCCATTCATTTTTCAGCCGTTGAAATTGCTTAATTGAGTCTCTCTTGTTATCGCCATTAAATTTGCCCACAGCTCTTCCAAAGACAAACAGAAAGCAACAGTTAAACAACACTAATTTTCTAATATTGGTTTACTGCCATCAAAACCTTATCTATTTTCAATAGGTCACACCTCAAGATTAATTAAAATGCAGAAGAAAAGTGTTTAAGTACTTCAGTGTTACATTTTACTGACATTTCTCCAATTCAATTTACATTTTTAAAACAAAAGACATTTAACAGCTTTGGAACACTGCTGATACTAATTAATTCACACCATTCTGTTAGATCTGTATCGAAGTACTCACTCATTAGTGCCACGAATGGATCGGAAAATAAAGAAATAGCAATAGATGATGACGATAAGTGGAATGAAGAAGACGAAGATGAAGAGGAGCATAGTGTAAGCTCGCACAGAGGGTGTGAAGGTCATATAATCCCAGGTGCAAGAGGTCAACAGCCCTTCAGGAACATAAGCACCTGCAAAACAGAGACAGACAGACCGACAGAAAAATAACTATAAAATAACATAATGTGTGGAGAAAAGTAAAGGATAGCCAGCAGCTACGCCTTTTACACCCGGAGAAATATTGTCAAAACTGGAACAAACTCACAAAGAAAAAGGATTTATGAATACTGTCTTGCTGCTGGGCAAACGCAGTGAAACACAACCCAATGCACACACAGCTGAGGATACAGTATTTAAGAAATACGCTATAATCACAGTATTTCTTATCGCCACCAATCACAGTCTGGCTTTCATGCATATGTGCCACTATTATCAGTTCTCTGAGGTTTGAGGTTGGAAGATATAAGCTGTCAGAACCGTTAAAAAACACAGACAGTCTTCGTGTGAAGAGCAGGTTGCCTGTAAACCAGAGATAGGAAGTGCTGGAGAGCCAAAAGCACCAGGCTTTACCAGTCTATCCCTCTTAAGCTGAAAGCCTCGGCCCTCAGAGACCACCTTTATGCGACACAGATCAGAGTCCAACAGCGCACTGTTTGTAAAGCCATTGGCTAAAAACTCTCATGATCGTGTGCTCACACATGGATGACCCAGAATGCTCAGTGTACTTGTCCCAAAAGACCTGAGCTTATAAAAGACTGATGCATCCTGTGAAAAGAGCATCAAAGGTATACTCAACTCCATTAGCACAGGACCACACTTAATCACCTGCAAATGCACAGACATCACATGACATGTTGACATCTGGCCTAATATAAATAACATTTGTTTTGATTTTGTTATCTAATTCAGTGATATTCATACATTTATTTGATGGATGTGTAGATAGGGTCACTTTATGCCTTTTTACAAAGAATGACTGTTTTCAAGTTTTGCAGTATTGCCCTTTTTTCCTTATTCTGTATTAATCATGTTTGTAGACATGCTTTTACAAAGAGCATTGGAAGAGAATGAATATTGCTCATAAGCACCTACCTGTTTCTCTTTCTATGTAACCTGCACTGTAAAAAAGGAATTGTTGAGAAAAGCTACAAGTGCAAGGCAACATGATGCATGCAGTTATTTAGAACAGTGACAATCAACAAATGTAAAAAGATGAGCTCTTTACATCACAACACAGCAAATAACTAACAATAAAACAAAACAATAATCTTATAACAGTAGCCATGTAATTTATTAATGATGCAGTGCATGCTGGGACTTCATGAACTCTTAACATTTCATCAATATTGTTCAATATAAAATTCTTTGTTGTTTGACTAGTTGGAACAACATTTGTGGGAATTCTGTTGACTTTCTATAGAAACACATGCAGTGGATATGATGTTACTCTTTAAGTGATAGTTCACCCAAAATGAAAATTATGTCATCATTTATTCACCCTCATGTTGCTCAAAACCTACATGTCTTTCTTTTCTGTTGAACATAAAAAATATATATTTTGCAAAATTTCTCAGTGTTTTGGTTTTGTCTATACAACGGAAGTCGAAGATCATCAAAACGGTTTAGTTACCAACATTGTTCAAAATAACCTCTTTGTGATCTACAGAAGAAAGAAAGTCATACAGTTTTAGAACAACATGAGGGAGAGTAAATGATTACATAATTTAAATTTTTGGGTGAGCTATCCCTTCAGGCCACATTTAATCATGTATGAATGCCCTTGTAGGCCTGTTAGATAAAAATATCAAAGTGGCATTAATTAAAAACAAAAAAACATAAGAACACTTTTCAATTAAAACATTTCACAAAGTTTACTAGGCTTAAAAATTAAAACAACAGATATACTACACTTACTCCAGCCAAAGAAGGGTGGCAGGCTCCAGCCAAGTGAATAAGCCCAAGCTATCAGAAGGATCAGCAGAGCTCTCTTTTGAGACAATACACCGATGGAGGCTAGAGGCCGCGTGATCACGAAATATCGATCCACAGCGATGACCATGAGAGTGATCATGGAGCAGATGCCAAATAAAGCCCCACAGAATGCATACAACTCGCAACCTGGAGAGACAGGAGGAACAGAATTAAGTGAGTCTTGTACTATTGGGTTGTACTACTGCATTGGGTTGTATTGTACTACATGATTTACGGGATAAAGATTTTTTTACATTAACTAAATTTCCACCTGATGAAATATTGAGTACTGCTGAGGCCCCCTAGTGGGCCCCGGCTCCCTAATTGAGAACCACTGTTTTGAATGAACTTTGTCCACCCCGCATATCCAAACGCACATCATGGTATCCTAGTAACAGTCTAGGATGTCCTACATCAAATAAACACACACAAATACAGAGATAGAGCTAGTTTGGATCTGTCTGAAGTCTATTTCACATCATACATCATGTCATCAATAAAACAGGTCAAACAGAAGAAGAAACAGCGGAGAGCCAAGAAACAGATGATTTCACACCATTATACTCGAGGCACACACACACACACACACACACAGTCTGGCACCTCCTCAACATCCACACACACTCTGTCTTCTACACTGTCAAGGCATATGTAAACAACAGAATGAGTGGAAATGCATTCAAATCTGATTCATGCTCATTTGTGCTTGTTTTCTCAGAACACATTTACTAGATGCACTTAAATAATTACAAAACAGAGGCATCTTTTATTGAAGATAATTCTCTCACACATCAGGAAGTCTTCTCTATTCTCTCACACCTTGTCAGGTAGATTATGCTTTCAGGTTAATCCTGGAAAAGAGCATTTTTGTGAGTTGTATCTGATTGATTGAGAAAGATTTCAGGGGGATCAAGCACACAGTTGTCACGGTCGAATTAACGGTGATCATATTTATGCCTTGTTTTGTAGAGCAGTCAGAGCTGACAGAAGCAAGAAACACATCTTTTAACAATTTTCCACCAAATGAAACTGGGTCAGAGTCCCTCCTCCAGGAGGGAGGCTTCAAACTCTGCTTGGAAAAGCATAACGCATCAGGATCCCAACAGGGAGACCAGAGGCTGTTCTGTTTGAATGGAAGTCAATGGAGCAGATGCCTTCAATATGCCAAATAAACTGCTTTGAGTGGAAATTACGTAAATTGACTTTTGCTGTCTGGTATGATAAATTTGTTGTTTTACAGAGGATATATTTTTTTCTTTTTTTTTGTTACAGGCAGGATTGAATTACGGCACTGCATTTACAGTATATTTAATATTTGAGAATATTGGTTCTCAACGTTTTTGACTCCATGGCCCCCATGGTCCACAACAATACTTAAAGGAATAGTGACTTTTCTAGCTGTTACTGGATAAGGATCAAGGATAAGGACTTTTTTTAAAGATCATTATTTTGTGTATTTGGTGTAACAAAATTAGTTGACATGCTTTAATGTTCAAAAAACACATTCTTTTTCAAATACTGTACATTATTGTAGGTCCTTTATGCCCGCATCAATCACTACAGTAATCACAATCACAGAGCTCCTGATCTCATAGCAGACGTCAGCAAGCAGAAAACTACAACAAAACCCAGTCAAGGCTGATGAAGGCAATTAAGATTCAGTCCTGATAGGAGCTGACATTTAAAACACCTCAGGGAAAATAGTCTTCCATCATCTAATACCACAAACAGCGGCATTTCACAGCTGAGCAAAATTACTAGCTAATGCTGAAAATCAACAAGAAAAGCCTTGATGTGCAGTTTTTTGAGAGGAATTTAGAGATATTACAATTTGGCAACTGATGAAAAAGAAACAACTGTACTAGAAAAGGTTACATGTACATCGGACAGAAAGACATTCATCATTCTTAGCAACAAAAGCACAAAGAAAGATCGGTATGAATACTTGTAAGCACTGAGAGACCAAGGCCATCTCCAAGGGCAACCTCTCTTTCATTTGAACCATTCAACCTGAGAAGTGATTCATCTTGTTCTTTACATTTAAATATGTTCATTATAATTCAAAAAGTATAGTAGAGTACAATAAATCATGGATGTGCATGTTTTATTTCAGACACCGCCTATGCATTAACCAATGATCTATCTGCAAAGATAAGTCTATTTATTTGACTGTCTGTGTGTACATTTGGCTGGTCCTGTTTGAGCACTTAAATGTACGTTTCTTTGTACCTTTTAAATAACCATATAAAGGTCAGAGTTCTTTTTTGTAATCAATTGGATTTATTTCACTTGGCATGATACAATTTAAAAAGGAACACAAAAGGCTTTCACAGAACAATCATGATTAAATGCAAAAATTTATTTTAGCAGATATTTGTTGACTGCAATTTCCTCAGGAAAAGCTTTAATGAAAAGACCTTTAAGTGCCAAGGCTGTGGGCAAATGAGATGGCTGAATGCAGGACAAGCACTCCCTGAAAAGTCATTTCAAGGCAGATGAATGTAACCATGTGGTCATGTTGGAGGAAATATGACAAAGCAGATTCAGTCTCTGCCTTCGGTATGTGTCAAGTGATGATGCAGAGACAACTCTTTACCAACAAACTGTCAAAATCATCATATTTGTTATGTAAAACACAGAGTCAGCTATAACACAACCATGCATTTTTTTCTGGGTCATATCTTGTTTTTGCATAGATGTGTTCATGTTCTCGAGGATGTCACGCAGCCTGTCTAATTTGGCTAGTTTCTCCTGAGTGAGCGATGAGTTTGAGCCAAAATGGGTTTGCTTGGACACACAGCCTTTGACGTCAACAACAAAACGCAATATATGGGAATCGTTTCTCCTCTCTTTTAAATGTGTATGAGCTGATGCATTTTGCTATCCTTACCATGATTATATGTTTAGCTGAATTTTTCTTTTTGCATTAAGCACTAGTAATTTTCCTTAATTTTCAAAACAAGCCACCGGTTGAGAACTACTGTGCAGACAAATAGTTTTTGTTTCTTTGTTTCTTCCAAGGATGGCAAATAATATTTTGAACTCCAAGAGCATAGCTGATAAAAAATCATGTTCAAATAAAGATTAAAACCTTGGAAACATGGTTCCTTTTACAAACATCCAAATTAAATGAATACAAATCAGGTTTCTCATGAACCTCAACTGACATGGGCCATTTTGTGTCATCAAAACATTTGTTAAACCACTTCCATCTTGAGCTCAACTGGTGAATTTATTTGTTCTGAAGGTTTTTCAAAATATAGCAGTAGCCATTGCTGTGTGTTTTCATTCATTACTTCTGAGTTTGGAGTCAAATGAAGATCTAAGCCATGAAAAACTTTGAGAGCTGAGATAAGACGATAGGATTCTAATGAAACGGATACTGTTCGAGTCCCACATCTGTTTCTCACTCAGAGTAATATGACAGTAACTGTGTTAAGGCGTTTCGGTGGGATTTTTGAAGATGCTTCAAAGTGAACCAGCCTCTTCAAAACCATGTAGTTATTCTAGAGAAGAAAGAAGGTTTAAAGGTATTTTTAATTTACTGCAGATGGGAAAACTCATCATGAAAACATTTGCTCTGGAAACAGGATCGCCTCACAAAAACAACAAAATGATTGTTTTGACAATTTTTACCATTATGTTTCCCACTCCTGAGGACAAATAAACTCAATGTTATTGTAAAGAGTTAACATTACACAGATTGTTTCTTAAAATTGTTTTCTTCAACTTTGGAACTTTAAACTACAACTGAACATTAAAATTAAGCATACAGTGCTGCTTATGTTAAATAATATTGATAATTTATAGTCATCTACAACCCCAAGTTGGGACGTTTTGTAAAAATGCAATAAAATCAAGAATCTGTGATTTGTTCATTCTCTTTAACTTTTATTTAATTGACAAAAGTACAAAGAAAAGATTTCCAAAGTTTTCACTGACCAACGTAAATGTATTTTGTAAATATGAACAAATTTATATTTTGATGGCTGCAACACACTCCAAAAAAGTTGGGACAGAGGCACGTTTAACACTGTCTCACATCAACTCACCAAACAAGGCTTCAGATGTCTGTGATTGTCGTTGTCCGATTCTCCTTTTCATGACTGGTCATACATTTTCACATGTGGTCATGTTGGAGGAAATATGACAAAGCAGATTCAGTCTCTGCCTTCGGTATGTGTCAAGTGATGATGCAGAGACAACTCTTTACCAACAAACTGTCAAAATCATCATATTTGTTATGTAAAACACAGAGTCAGCTATAACACAACCATGCATTTTTTTCTGGGTCATATCTTGTTTTTGCATAGATGTGTTCATGTTCTCGAGGATGTCACGCAGCCTGTCTAATTTGGCTAGTTTCTCCTGAGTGAGCGATGAGTTTGAGCCAAAATGGGTTTGCTTGGACACACAGCCTTTGACGTCAACAACAAAACGCAATATATGGGAATCGTTTCTCCTCTCTTTTAAATGTGTATGAGCTGATGCATTTTGCTATCCTTACCATGATTATATGTTTAGCTGAATTTTTCTTTTTGCATTAAGCACTAGTAATTTTCCTTAATTTTCAAAACAAGCCACCGGTTGAGAACTACTGTGCAGACAAATAGTTTTTGTTTCTTTGTTTCTTCCAAGGATGGCAAATAATATTTTGAACTCCAAGAGCATAGCTGATAAAAAATCATGTTCAAATAAAGATTAAAACCTTGGAAACATGGTTCCTTTTACAAACATCCAAATTAAATGAATACAAATCAGGTTTCTCATGAACCTCAACTGACATGGGCCATTTTGTGTCATCAAAACATTTGTTAAACCACTTCCATCTTGAGCTCAACTGGTGAATTTATTTGTTCTGAAGGTTTTTCAAAATATAGCAGTAGCCATTGCTGTGTGTTTTCATTCATTACTTCTGAGTTTGGAGTCAAATGAAGATCTAAGCCATGAAAAACTTTGAGAGCTGAGATAAGACGATAGGATTCTAATGAAACGGATACTGTTCGAGTCCCACATCTGTTTCTCACTCAGAGTAATATGACAGTAACTGTGTTAAGGCGTTTCGGTGGGATTTTTGAAGATGCTTCAAAGTGAACCAGCCTCTTCAAAACCATGTAGTTATTCTAGAGAAGAAAGAAGGTTTAAAG